GGCTGATGCAATTGCTAAGGAAAAAAAAGATTGACCCTATACTTAATTTTGGGATAAGAACTGAAAAGAAAGGGGGAGGGCTGCAAAACAGGCAGAAAGAAGACACTGTGATAATCCCGTATAACTTCTTCATTTTTCATACATTGATGCAATTTGTACTTATTGCACAGTAATTTTGAATTAGACCTTTCTGTTGTTCAAAATTATTATTCTCTTTCTAAAAATCCCTGGCAGCAATTGCTCAAGTTCACTTCTCACAAACAGGGTACTTTGTAAGTCTATACAGAACGTTTTCTTCTGCTATCTAACCGTGGGGCCATATTCATCCCCATGCTGCGCATGCTTAGCATGACTACATCCACAGTGTAGTACCTGAATCTCGTTTTCTTCATCTTTTAAAAAAAACTTTCCACTTTGTCTTTTCTTGCCTACGTTTTTTCCTATTGCCAACCCTATCCCCTATCTTTTCTCCAAATGTATTTCTTTTCCAACCCCTCTTTAATGTGTTTAACTCTGTTTCACTCTCTTTCCTAGCATTTGGAGTTATTTTAGTTATTTCTACCCTAGCTCACCTTTCCAGTCCAACATCCTTACATCTCTCTATCTTCTCTGCATGGATCTCCTTCTTTATCTGTTTTTTGGGGGAGGGGGGGAATACACCAAAGTCATTAGGGAACACATACCCTTTTGTAAAGGTGAACTTGGGCTACTAATTGCTTGGGCTGTTTCCATAAATCTTAGCTAGCTGCATCTGGCTGTGTTCTGCAGTTTCCTGCATCCGGGGCTGAGCTGGTTGTATCTACAGTGCTTCATGGAGAGAGGCGTGCTGTAAGCCAGCACATCCCTCACTGTGGCCAGACGCTGCTGCCCAAGAACCCAGCAGGCTCATCCCAGACTGGAGTGAAAGTGTGGGCCAGCAGGCAGCCAGCCTGGAGTGTCTGAGTGCAAACTCAAACCACAAATTAATGTGACGACACAGATGAAGCCTGTGGGTCCTTTGACAATCCCGCACCTTCTCTCTTGGCAGTCTTACTTCTCATAGCTGCCACTCTCTTCTCTCTCTCTTCAGTGCTATTTGGAGCCATCCCTATTTCTAAAGAGATTCACTCAGTAATTAAGTAGGACCACAAACAGGAGTCATGATCTGTACCACTAGTTCCTGTTTGGCCACTTCTGTTTCCCTGCTGATCTCCTGACAAATCAATCTGTTGGTGAGCAATACATCATCCTCATGTCAGCTGACACAGCACTCTGCTGGACTCGCTAGTCCATTCCCCATCTGTACAGGATGGACTGTAATATTCCCTCTTCATCCCTGCCTCACGGGGTATTTCATTTCACCTCGCACATCACATCCGGGGAGATTCAATGGCTTGTACCACCAATAACTACAAAGCCGCCAAGTTTTTCCAAAAATTTAAGCTATATGTCCTCTACCATAATTGAGGCTTTTTATTCCTTGCCCTGCCTTCACTGAGTAATGAGAACAAGCACACTTCATCCTTCGTAAAAATCTCTTTAACTTATTAATAGGTAGCAGCTATGCCTTTCCCTCACCTATGCACCTTCACCCATGCTTTTGCTTTCAGGCCAAACACATCTCTGTTCTTCTAGTTTTCCTTTGGAAGTTTTATATTCCAACAGTCCTAAGCAAGCGCTGATCATACACACAGCTATCCTCTGAATTCTCTCCAGTTTCTCAGACACATCCCAGAAACTCTAGTCTGGCAGAAATACCAAAAAATGACCTCTGACAAACGTTGTTTATGGCATTTCACAAATCACCATTCCTGACTGTTGTGCAGCTGCACAACAGAGACAAACCCGAGAGGTTTCTTGAGAAGAGACAAGAAACCAAGAAAAGCTTTAGAAAGAAAATGAAGTGGGGATATAAAGCAGAGAGAAGAGCGAGCCTCCACTCATTCTTTTCTTTGGCCATTAGCACTAGGGGGGGGCAGGGGGGGGGGCAGGAATGGCAGAAATGGATGTGAGCAGCATAGGGGTGGGACAGTTGGGGGACTGGAGGGCAGGAGAGAACCACTGGCAGAGCTGGTTTAGGTAAGTTTGCTTCCTAACACTAGGTACAGAACCCTAGGATTAAACCTGTAACACTTTGCATCTTACAGATATGAAAAAAATTATTCAATAGAAAGAAGGAAATTACACAGATACACATTAGGCATCTAAACACAATGCCTAGTTTATGACCTCTGCCCCCTTTCAGGGTCAATGGAGAGAAACAGGTACTCTAAAACCTCCTTTCTGTGGCATTCCAGCTCTCCCCAGAAGCAGACTCATGAAGACCAGTCACCTCTGACAGTTGCCTAGAATTACCTACTGGCATTTCAGAATATATCTAACTATAGGTGCTTTGCTTAATAAATGCATCCCTGAAGTTAAGCATATATATACATACATTTCTGAAGAAAGCATGTTCTTTTGTGTTTTCCTGAATGGACATGAGAAATCTGTGAACATTTTACAAGATTCATAGGAAAAAATTTGGCGATGACCAGGGATGCCTTCTCAGCTTCATTAATCTGTGAATATGTTTAAAGTTAAGTACATGTACAAAGGCTTTGTTGAATCTGTCCCAACACCTTACTCCTGCAGAGGTTATCTGCTAACTAAGATTTTATTCAATACTGGGAGAAGAATCTGTTCCTGGGTAATTTGGAAACAGAATCATAGAATAGTTTGGGTTGGAAGGGATCTTAAAGGTCATCTAGTCCAACCCCCCTGCCATGGGAAGGCACACCTTTAGCTAGATCAGGTTGCTCAGAGCCCTGTCCAACCTGACCTTGAATGTTTCCAGGGATGGGGATTCTACCATCTCCCACGGTAGAACAACCTGTTCCAGTGTCTCACCACTCTCATTTTAAAAAATGTCTCCCTTATATCCAGTCTAAATCTACTCTCTTTTAGTTTAAAAACATTACTCCTTGTCCTATCACAACAAGTCTTGCTAAAAAGATTGTCCCTACCTTTCTTATAAACCCCCTTTAAGTACTGGAAGGCCGCTGTAAGGTCTCCCTGGAGCCTTCTCTTCTCCAGGCTGATCAACCCCAACTCTCTCAGCCTGTCCTCATAGGGAAGCTGATCCAGCCTCCTGATCTTCATTGTGGCCCTACTCTGGACCTGTTCGAGCAGGTCCATGTCCTTCTCGTGCTGGAGGCCCCAAAGCTGAACACAGCACTGCAGGTGTGGTCTCGCCAGAGCAGAGTAGAGGGGCAGAATCACCTCCCTCAACCTGCTGGCCACACTGCTTTTGATGCACCCCAGGACACAGTTGGCCTTCTGGGCTGTGAGTGCACATTGCTGACTCATGTCCAGCTTTTCTTCCACCAGCACCCCCAAGTCCTTCTCCGCAGGGCTGCTCTCAATCCCTTCATCCCCCAGCCTATACTGATACCAGGGGTTGTCCCGACCCAGGCGCAGGACCTTGCACTTGGCCTTGTTGAACCTCATGAGGTTCACACGGGCCCACTTCTGAAGCTTGTCCGTCTGGATGTCATCCACCTTCTGGATGGCATCCTGTCCCTCAGGCATGTCAACCACATCACTCAGCTTGGTGTCATCTGCAAACTTGCTGACAGTGCACTCAATCCCACCGTCTATGTCATTGATGAAGATATTGAACAGCACTGGTGCCAGCGTGGATCCCTGAGGGATGCCACTTGTCACCAAAATACTCATGTCTGGAGTAGGGAAAAGTCTTCAGGACATCCCCTGATTCTACACTGTCCTTCTAATGATTCATATGCTGCAACATCTCAAGGAATCCTGCCTTTTCAGACAGAATAAAGCTTATGTTCTTAGCTCCATTTGTACCGGAGGAAGTTCGACCTTAGGTAAATATTTCACCACCTAAGAAAAGGTAAGGTCTTAGTGATTGCAGGTGAGACTCTTCTTCACTGAATACCCCAGACTTGTCTCTACAGACCAGTCTTTGAACAAGGTACTTAAGAAAAACTAT